TAGGATGCTAGAGCTAGAGCTAGAGCTCTGATACTAACTGTGATGCCCCTGGTTTCACATGAGGCTGCAGTCCAAGGATGATCCTTAGGATGCTAGAGCTAGAGCTAGAGCTCTGATACTAACTGTGATGCCCCTGGTTTCACATGAGGCTGCAGTCCAAGGTGAATCCATGATCCTTAGGATGCTAGAGCTAGAGCTAGAGCTCTGATACTAACTGTGATGCCCCTGGTTTCACATGAGGCTGCAGTCCAAGGTGAATCCAGAGATGTCAAACCTGCCATACACCCACACAGTGCAATAACATGTTTCACCATCAAAGTAATATCTCTCTAGTGGAATTAGTTAAAAATAGTGCATGTACAAGCAGATACGAGAAAAGTAAAAATGCAATGAACATGCCAAGAGAAAGAAATATCCAAAGAATATGATCATGTCCAAACTGAATAAAAAGAGTATAATTGATAGACTAAAATAAATATGAAATATCTCAATACGCTGAGTTAACTAAAATAGTGCTAAGGCTCTCAGCCTTCAAAATGAATTATAAGTTTATAAATCACTAAACAAATACTTAACTAATGTGGAGCACAAGCTGTCTATCAAGAAATGACGGCGACTATGCAAAAACTTCATCAACCTGTGGCTCTCTTAAACTCCGATGCGCTGCCTAAAAATATGGAGAAACAACAAAATTAGAGCATTAGCAAGTTCATCTCCATCTGCTCCCAGATAAAATGGCTGCTATATATGATGGAGGCTCTATCTATATATGCATATTCTATCTAAATCATTTATTATCATGCCCCGCTTCTCAAAATACCGGGGAATTGGGACGTGAGCAAGCCCGTGATATATTAGACAGAGGAGAAATAAGTACTAGACCATCGCTACTCAATCTAATACGCTAAGCGTCAAACAATATAAAGCAAAGGCATATGTCCCTGATCCCAACAGCGAGAATAAAATAAACAACTCAGATCAAAATGATACATATCACAACTGAAACATTATCCCAGACATAATATATTCGGGTCAACATGCCCTTATACAAACCTGAACAACTGAATACTGGAGAAATATAATACATCATTCACCGGTAAAAGAAAGGAAAATACTACAAAAGAAACTAGGATCGTCTATTAAAAAGAGATAACTGAACGTTGGGCTATTCTTCAACTCTATCTGCAAGGCACTCCTGCTAAGAATATCATGTCTCTAGCACATCCCAAGCTGAACCTCTCCTTACTCTAAGTCTTACATACATCAGGGAAAATAGGTGTACGTCAGCGTGCATGGCACACGATAAGATCCTACAGAAGAAAAGAACGAATGAAAACCTAATGCGAAAAAACAATACAACAACAAAAATGACAAAGAAACGTACAACTGGAAATCCAACAAAATCAAAATGCAATCCATCATTAAAACGTGATACTCATAAGGCTAACAGTATACAGTAACCAGGTTGAATACTAGCCATCTTAAAAACTCACTGGTCCACCTCTCAAATAGGTCCAAGTTCGCATTACCGAAAAATTAACTATTCACAATCCCCTACGCGCATCCAATCCCGCGAAATAGGCAGCTAGAGGACTACACACAATCCGATCTCTACCTGGTCTGAACTCAGGAAAAGCTCAGGTGACGGAACAAATCATGGATCCAAGTGGCGAAACAGGTCACTTGGTCCAACAAACCAACCCCAGGACGAAACAGGTCACTGGTGCGAGTCTGGAAGATAAGTCAACAATCACATTTGATCATGCAAGGCAAGACTTTCCCACCCCAACTCTTCTCGTTCTTTCTAAGTCAACGGTCATAATCTCTATTAAAACTCTGGTTCACCACCTAAACACAGTCAACACACCCACACATGTCACTAGGTCTGTCCATGACGCACGAGGCCACTAAGTCATGAACTACTAAGGTTTTTAATCACAACAAGGAGATAATAATAACACTAATTTCATGCAACCACATCATGGCATGTTGAATATATTGAAATAAAGATCATAAGACAGGAATAGTAACTACAAACAACACAGAAAGTATGAACAATGACTTGTGAACAGCATAATCATGCGTGAAAACGAATTTCATCCAATAAATTCTTTTAAAATTGCTTCTCATTATATTAATTCAGAACAAGTCTTTAAAATCATAAATTTATTTATTTAAAATATTCTTTTTATAAAATATACTCTTTTCAATTATTATTCTAAAATAATCCCTTTTACACAAAGTAAATTCTTTTCTCATTACAATAATTCTAAAAATAATCTTTAACTATAATAATCTAGTAATTCGAATAATCTTTATCTTTGAAAATAATTCTTATCCTGACAAAATCAGTTATTTTCATCTATCATCAAACAATCCACGCAGATAATAACATATTACAATGTAATTTGTACAACAATTTAATAATAGATATAAACATTGTAAGGACAAGTCAAAGGGAAATGAGATCTTGCCTGTAAGACCAAGAAGTCTAATGACGTGACGGTAGAGGTATGATGACAAGGAGGTGGTGGTTGCAGCGTCGGTGAAGGTTGGGCGGCGGATGGGCGGAGCTATGCTTAGAGGGTCGAGTGCAGAGCGACGATGACATGGGGGTCGGCGTAAAGGGGGTCTGGTGGCATAGGTTAATTAGGGTTAGGGTTATGTATTTAAAATAAAAATTTATTAAAATAAATAATTACTGATATTTAAAATCAAAATAATTACGGAATAATTATCTACAAATAAAAACATACCAGCCATATTAATACAATAGATAGTACGCAATAGTAAAAATAAAATAATAAATTATACAATTAAATGATAATAATTAATAAAAAATATAATTACTTCATTTAAAATCAAATAATTATGGGAAAATTATCTATACAATAAAATGTACCAGTTATACTAATACAACCGATAATATGCACTAGTAGAAATAATACAACAAATTATATAAATAATATGTAATTAATGATACAACGTATTATACAAAATAATATGTAATAATAATTATAATACAATATATTATTCAAAATGATACGTAATAGTATCGATAACACAACGGATTAATTATAGAAATTTTTACTGCACTAAGTTAATTTATAAATATCAAAATTATTTAAATAAATATAAAATTTGAACTTTTAAATTGCAAAAAATTCTATAAAATTAATAAAAATACAAATACTATTTTAAAAATAATAATTGAATATTTTAAAATACCAAAAAAATATTTTAACTAGTATCAAAATTCACGGTCATTACATTTACCATATATTAGATAGGGTTAATACTTAGAAATCCTCAACACGAGACTGGTACGTCGAGTAAAATAATCTAAACAAGAAAACCCTCATGTATATACTATATGTCTCAAATTGTGAATCACTAAATTTCAACTCCAAAACTAAAAATAAAGGAATAAATAAATGCAATACTAAAATGTCAACCAAACCAAGTCATATATGTCAACCTAACATCTCATGCTACCCTTGGGTACTCAATACGAATATCAGTATATAATCTTGTGAAATCTATAATACCATATACCCGGTCACAAAAGAACTTAACGGTGAACCACATAAATAAATGACCTTCCACCTAAAACTCAAATTGTCTTAGGTTTTATAGTACTATCTCTTGTAAAGTTTTATGATATCATAGCATCATTATATGAAACGGACTACCTATTCAGACATCTTAAGTAAATACGGGCCACTAGCCTCATCGCATCACCATGCGGAACAGACCGTCTCCTT